CCATCAATGGGGCAACCCCTTCCCGTATCGCGGCAAGACCCACCTGTAAGGCGATAATTTTAGAGATGTCCTGAATGGCGTCAATACTTGGCAGTAAATCATGGTCTGGGTTTTTCAGCATGGGTGAACATCTGGCTAAAGCATTACTCGCGGCCATTAACATCAGGTCGGTCACGCTTTGCGCACCTGAGGCAATGACACCTAGACCAACCCCAGGAAAAATATAAGCATTATTGCACTGAGCAATGGGGTAAATATGGCCTTGATGATGTACTGGTGCAAATGGGCTGCCTGTTGCGATTAAGGCTTTACCCTCTGTCCATTGAATAATATCTGTGGGGAGCGCTTCGACCTGAGAGGTGGGGTTGGACAAGGGAAAGACGATCGGGCGTTCACAGTTTTCAGCCAGTGCGCGAATAATCTCTTCGCTAAATAAGCCAGTTTGTCCTGAAACTCCGATTAATACTGTGGGTTTGGCATGCTGAATGACTTCGAGCAGAGAAATCTCTGGCGCTACATTTGCCCATGTCTCAATGGCACGCAAAGGCTGCGCCAACTTGCTTTGAAAATCGAGTAAGTTGGGTTGCTGTTCAGTCATTAAACCAAAGCGATCTACCAAATAAAGACGTGAGCGTGCTTCAAGGTCGCTGAGCCCTTCAATTTTCATTTGTGCAATAATTTGTTCTGCAATACCACAGCCTGCTGAACCTGCACCTAAAATAACAATCGTTTGATCTTTGACCTGCTTTTTCACCACATGAGATGCTGCAATCAGGCTAGCTAACGCTACAGCCGCCGTACCTTGAATATCATCATTAAAACAACAGATTTGTTCACGGTAGGTAGTTAGTAAAGGCATGGCATTTTGCTGAGCAAAATCTTCAAACTGTATCAGGGCCTTCGGCCAGCGTCGTTGAATGGCACGAATCACATCATCGATAAATTGATTGTATTCATCGCCACTAATACGGGGGTGGTTCCAACCCAAATACAGAGGATCGTTGCGTAACTGTTGGTTATTGGTCCCAACATCTAGTGTAATGGGCAAGGTATAGGCTGGACTGATACCGCCACAGGCGGTATAAAGCGACAGTTTGCCAATGGGAATCCCCATGCCGCCAATGCCTTGATCACCAAGACCTAAGATCCGCTCTCCATCGGTCATCACGATAACTTTGACATTTTTGCGGTTGACGTTGTGTAGAATTTCATCAATATGCGCGCGATCTGGGTAGGAAATAAAAATGCCACGATGTCGGCGATAAATATCGGAAAAACGTTGGCAGGCCTCACCCACAGTTGGGGTGTAAATGATCGGCATCATTTCACTTAAGTGATGTTTGAGCAGATGGTAAAACAGAGTTTCGTTGGTATCTTGGATATTGCGTAAATAGATATGTTTGTTGATGTCATCATTAAAAGATAAATACTGCTGATAGGAGCGGCGACTTTGTTCCTCAATGGTTTCGATCACGTGTGGAATTAGGCCGTGTAAATTGAAGGTATTGCGTTCTTGTATTGAAAATGCAGCTCCTTTATTCAACAACGGCAGTTCTAAAAGTGAATGAGCTGCATAGGGAATATAGAGCGGTTTCTTTATGGTTACATGATCCATCATGAGCTTGATCTCGTTACATCGATTGCAATGTCCGTATTCTGCTGAAAGAAGTATGGATTAAACGTCGAGACGTTGTGGTGAATAGGGACACAAGTGAAGAGAAATGCCTGATTTGGCTGTGATGTGTCTGACCAAATGCAGGCTTAGAGTTAAAATAAAGAGAGATAGACAACACCAAACAGGATCGTTTGAGGTGCTGTCTGTAAAGCACTATTTAATAAAACTCAGTTCTTTACTAATCCGATCCAGCACTGGTTTCTTTTTGGCTTGGAACTGGGTTTTATTTTGCTGAATAAGATTATTGCCATGGGTATCAATCGAGATGATCAGCGGGCCAAATACCTTGACGCGGTTAATCCATAAGGTTTCAGGCATCCCGAGGTCTTGCCATTCAGCGCCTTCAATTTCCTCGACTTGAGTGGCTGCCAGTACCGCACATCCTCCAGGGAAAATCGCATGGACTGCTTTGTGCTCCTGACAGCCTGCGACAGTCTCAGGGCCCATGCCACCTTTACCCACAATCAGTTTCACCCCAGTTTGTTTGATAAATTCGCGTTCAAATTTTTCCATACGCATACTGGTGGTGGGCCCAATGGAGACCATTTCAAAACCGCCATCATCCTTTTTACGCACGATGGGGCCAGCATGGAAAATCGCACCGCCTTCTAAATTCACGGGAAGTTGTCGACCTTGTTCAATTAAGCGGCGATGTGCCACATCACGACAAGTAACTAAACGTCCAGTTAGATATACCACGTCACCAATTTTAAGATCGGCTAAGTCTTCATCACGTAATGGGGTGGTCAGTACTTTTTTCATAGCACAACTCCTTCGTGTGACAGAATTTCATAAGACATATCAGGGTTAATTTTAATTTTGCCACGGCGGTGTGCCCAGCAACCGGTGTTGACTGCCACGCCAATGGTGGATGGGTGACGAGCCGAAGACTCAATATTGACGCCCATGACGCTGTTATTGCCTGTTAAGCCCTGTGGGCCAATGCCAATTTCATTCAAGCCTTGTTCCAGCAAGTCTTCCATCAGTGCAGCACGAGGGTTATCACTTCTTGAGTCTACAGGGCGCATAATGGCCAGTTTGGACAAGCGTGCAGCGGTTTCAACTGAAGTGGACACCCCGACACCGACCAGTAACGGCGGGCAAGCATTCACACCACGCTCGGTAATCACATCCATCACGAACTCAGCTACACCTTCGTAGCCTTGACCTGGCATCAAAACTTTAGCTGCACCTGGCAAGGTACACCCGCCGCCTGCCATATAGACATCGATGGTACAGGTATCCTGTTCCGGGACGATGCGCCAGTCTAGCCACGGAATTTGGGTGCCCGTATTGGTGCCCGTGTTTTTCTCATCAAAGGTTTCAACTGCATTGTGGCGCAAGGGGCCTGTACGGGTCGCCTCTTCGGTCGCTTCACGTAAAATTTCCTGTAACTCACCCAACAGTGGGAAATGTGCACCCGCTTCAACAAAATATTGAATCACACCTGTGTCTTGGCAGCTGGGACGATTCAATCGATCTGCTGCTTCTTGGTTTTCATCCATTGAATCATAAATTGATTTGGCCAATGGGTTGGTTTCCAAGGTTTTGAGCTCAATCAGTTTACTTTTGACATCTTTGGGTAAACGTTTGCCAATATAGGCTGTAAATTTGGCCATGGTGTCCGTGAGGGACTGTACGGCAAGTTCTTTGTCCATGGGAGGCTCCTTGTTAAGCGTTCAATTCGCTCGAATATCGAATAAGGTAAAAATGAAGATCAAAACATGGTTGGCATGCTCCACAGTGGCGGTTTAGAGCAACTGATGCCGACGTTGACAATGGTTAATGCTGCAATCAGGCCAAACATACTGCCAGTACTGGCTGCAATCGCGAGCCCCACAGCTGCGGTTAAACAAGCCAAAGCCACATGCCATGTGCGTTCATTGGTTTTGTCGGAGTGGCGAGACCACAGAATCATGGCAACCACAGAGATAATAGGAGGAATAGCGTTCAATAGACCGACGGTCATTGAGCTGACACCCAGTTCTTTAATGATTTGAGGTGCCCAAATGCCAAGGGTATACAGCCCCGCGGAGGTACCGAAATAAATGAGTGCCAGAGCAAGCACGCGTGGATTGGCGAGTCCGCGTAAAATACTGTGATGCTGTTGCCCTCCTTTATTGGCATCTTCTGCTTGCATGGTTTTAACCAACCATTCACGCTCATCGGGTTTTAACCACGCGGCTTTTTCAGGTCGATCTGTCATGTAGAAAAACACTACGACGCCTAGGATCACCGCAGGAATGGCTTCAATCAGGAACATCCATTGCCAACCTGCTAAGCCCATGATGCCGTGCATTTCCAGTAATGCTGCTGAAATAGGAGAACCAATCGCCGTGGCTATAGGGGCGGCAGCCATAAATAAGGCAATTACCCCTGCTCGGTTTCGTGCAGGGAACCAGTAGCTTAAATACAAAATAATGCCGGGGAAAAAGCCTGCTTCGGCGACACCGAGTAAAAATCGCATAACATAAAAGCTGGTTGAGCTTTCGACAAAGGCCATCCCGCCAGCAATAATGCCCCAAGTCACCATGACCCGTGCAATCCAAATGCGAGCGCCGACTTTGTGCAAAATAATGTTGGAGGGAACTTCAAAGAGGAAATAGCCCAAAAAGAAAATTCCTGCGCCAAAACCGAGAATCGAAGCGGTAAAGCCCAAGTCTTCTTTCATGGTAATGGCAGCAAAACCAATATTGACTCGATCAATATAGGCAATTAAATATAAAATCATGATAAACGGCACAATACGCCAAGTGATTTTGCGTAGCGTCCGTTTCTCGATATCCATGTCCATGGCTTATCTCCATATCAGTAGCGATTACCTCCCGATTGGGTTGAAGTCACACCGCAATCGAGTTTGGCGAAACAGCTCCCCGTTTGTGCACCGTTGTCCTTACACGGTGGACTTTATGACTCACTCAAGTTTCCTTGCTTGGGTGAGATATGTTGTTTGGGGGGTAACGTGATAGGGATATTAGAGACTTTGCAAAACCGATGAATCGATATAAAGTTAAATCACTCTTGCAAAAAACTGAATAATCATGAGCTCAGATACCGAATTAGCATTTTTTTGTTTACTAATAAAACAGGGCAGTCTGGTTGCAACAGCGCGTGAGTTGAATTTAACGCCCCCTGCCGTGTCCCGACGTCTGACACAAATGGAAGAGCGTTTAGGGGTTCGGTTGTTGAATCGGACCACCAGACGCATCAGTTTGACCAATGAAGGCGAAATTTATTTTGAGAATGCTTCGCGAATCTTGAAAGAAATTGAAGAAATGGAACAGCAAGTAGCACGCAGTCGCACCACACCTAAGGGTTTGCTGCGGGTCAATGCCCCGTTTGGTTTTGGTCGAACCTACATTGCTCCTGCGATTTCAGACTTTGCGCGAAAATTTCCAGATATTGAAGTCCAGTTACATCTGACCGATCGTCCGATTCATCTGCCGAATGATGCGATTGATGTCTCGATTCACTTTGGGCAGGTACCAGACTCACGACTAATTGCGAAAAAAATTGCGGCCAATCGACGGCTTCTATGTGCTTCTCCGCGTTATTTGGCCCACGCTGGGGCACCACTTACGCCACGCGAACTGACCCTGCACCAATGCATAGTGTTAAGACAAAATGAGTTTACCCATTACCTTAACCGATACCGCTGGTTTACGTGAAACCGGTGATATTGTAGAAAAAGAAGGGATTCGTCGTGCCATTAAAGAAATTGAGCAAGCTGATCTGTTACTTTTGGTTTATGACTTAAGCCAAGGCGAAGACCCACTTAAACTGGCGCAAGAATATTTTGCTGAGCATATTGAGCCGAAACGTTTAATGCTGATTGGCAATAAGTGTGATTTGACGGAAACGACATCGCATATCGAAGACTTTAACGGCTTCCGTCATATTATGGTTTCGGCCAAGCAAGAAACTGGCGTTCAAGCGCTCATAGAAGCGATTACAGCGCATGCAGGCTTCCAGCCTGAAGAAGATACCTTTATTGCACGTACACGCCATTTAGACGCAATGAAACGCACTCAGCTTTACCTTGCTGAAGCGCGTGAACAATTGGTGGTGTATAACGCAGGTGAGTTGGTCGCAGAGTCGCTACGTTTGGCGCAAAATGCCCTTGGCGAAATTACAGGGGATTTTAGTGCGGATGATTTGCTTGGGAAAATTTTTGGATCGTTCTGTATTGGAAAATAACACTGCTATTGATGAAAAAACCCTCTGATTAGGGCTTTTTCATATTTAAAGTTAGAGGTGTACTGCTCTGATGTGAAAACCACAGATAAAAACACAATAAAGCGATGGCAATGCAAAAGCTAATGACCCCGAAACTTAATCCAAAGTGATCTGCCAGATAACCCACAGCTACAATGGGCACAATCGTGCCCAAATAACCGATAAAAAGATAGGTTGACATTACAGCCGCTCGGTTTTCTGTGGTGGTCATGGCATAAATCAGACCAAAAGCACCAATCAAAGTTAAACCGTGCCCAATTCCCACTAAGAAATCGCTGATAAAGAAAAATATACTCAGTTGAAACAGCATACACAAAGCTAAAATGCCTAGGCTTAGGATCAAGGTGATTAAGCCATAGTTGAGACACTGATTAGCAGGTATGGCTCTGGCAAAATACTGCACCACGGCAGAGATAATCAAAATACTGGTAATGGCTGAGCCACTGACGAGTGGGCCATGCCACGGCAGAATATCACTGACAAATGACGGAGATAAAGAAGCAAATAAGCTAAATGCAGCAAAGGCACTAAATGCGGTAAATCCAACAATCAAAAACAACTGATGATATTGTACTGCTGGTCGGAGTAGTTTCGGAGCAAGACTAAAGGGTTGTACTGTAAACGTGGGAGATTGAACCCAAAATAAGCCAAAGAAACACACTACAGCACCAAGAATAACGGGGAGATAAGGGCTGACCAAAGGGTATTCTGAAAATTGAGCAATCAGGCCACCAATCAGCGGGCCTAAGCCAAAACCTACTGCGGTAATAATCGAACTCAGTTGTGGTGCAATCTGTTGATGGCTTTTGGGTACGGTATACATCAGTCCCAGTAAGGCCGAAGTGGTCATCAAACCAGATGCAATACCAATAATAAAGCGCCCCAAAGATAAGATGAGAGCATCAGAAGCATAAGCGGAAATCACCAACCCGATGCTGATAAACACCAACCCTACTTGTAAGGTGCGTAAATAGCCAATGCTATTACTGGTCCGGCCGAGAAACAGTAAAGTAGCGAGACAACCAAACATATAAGCCACAAAAATATAGGTGATCTGACTCGGCACCAGATGCCATAAGGCTTGATACAGCGGGTAAAGTGGACTGGCTAAGGCAGTCCCCATCGTTCCCATCATTAAGGCGAGGCTGACCATACAAAATGGACGCCAAGAAGTGGTTGTTGTCATGCAAATGCCATGCGGCTCTCTCGGTCAAAACAAGAATATTTTGATGCCCAAGAGAAAAAGGATAGAGAGCAACAGTGTATCGGTTTGTGGAAAAAATGGTCAACTAAAAACTTGAAAAAGAACGCAATGAAACTTAGCCATAGCGTTTCAGCAGTTTTAAGAACTCAGCCAACTCTTCTTCATTGACCTGTTCAGCTTGTGCTAATACATGATGGCGTAAGTGTGCTTCAACCAGTTCATTCATCAGCCCATTGACCGCGCCTTTAATAGCAGCGACTTGTTGTAAAACATCGATACAACTGGCATCGGGATGTGTGATCGAGAGTTCAACGGCGTTGACCTGCCCTTGTAAGCGTTTCACACGGTTTAAAATTTTTTTATCTTCATGCAAATGACTCAACACATTGCTCCAAAAATAAATATACTAAGGGGGAGTATATTGGTGAATGATTTTAAATGCAAAATACCCCATCACGTCAGCATACGCATCATTTTGATGACGGTAATCCACTGGCACAAAAACGGATTTTAATGGCGACCATTTTAACGGCAGTCATGATGTTATTAGAAGTGATTGGTGGATGGATTTTCCAATCAATGGCTTTGCTGGCGGATGGTTGGCATATGAGTTCGCATATGTTGGCATTGGGTTTGGCTTATTTTGCTTATCGTGCTGCACGGCATTATGCCCATGATCAGCGCTTTAGTTTCGGCACATGGAAAATTGAAATTCTTGCAGGTTACAGCAGTGCTATTTTGCTGATGGTAGTAGCAGGTTTTATGGCTTTTCACTCGATTCAGCGTCTATTCTCGCCTGTACAAATTCATTATAACGAAGCGATTCCAATTGCGATTTTAGGCTTATTGGTGAATTTAATCTGTGCATGGTTGCTGCATGATGGTCACCATCACCATCACCATCACCATCACCATCACCATCACGCTCATGATCATGCATCAGAAGTACATAGCCATCATCATGATTTAAATCAGAAAGCTGCGTTTATGCATGTAGTGGCAGACGCAGTGACTTCCATTTTTGCCATTATTGCGCTGATTTTTGGTAAATATTTGGGCTGGGATTTTCTCGATGCTGCGCTTGG